CCGTTTTCTTGGCAACTGATGGGATGAAGAAAGAAAAAACGCGTGCGAGTCTTTTGAAGATGTAAAAGCAAGAGAGTTAATAAATGGTGTACTTTATAGATAGGCTCTTAAGCCTTAATTTATTACAAATCAATAATTTTGTTAACAAGTTGGATAGAATTCTTGACCTCATATTTATTAGTGATAACATTGAAGTTTGCCACAATCCGATCACTCCATCTAATATGCATCATGTTCCTCAGCTACTAAAATTTGAATTTTATGTATTCCCCTCTTTCAATGCTGGTGACAAACCTAAGTTTAATTATGCAGCCTGCGATTATCCCAAGTGAAATAGATTACTGGGTGAATTAAATTGGGTGGTATAATCGTGACTTGAAAAAACTGAAGAATCTTAGAAACAAATTTTATNAGCTACTAAAATTTGAATTTTATGTATTCCCCTCTTTCAATGCTGGTGACAAACCTAAGTTTAATTATGCAGCCTGCGATTATCCCAAGTGAAATAGATTACTGGGTGAATTAAATTGGGTGGTATAATCGTGACTTGAAAAAACTGAAGAATCTTAGAAACAAATTTTATAATAAGTTTAAGGCCTCTGGAAGTCAGTTTTTCTTTGAAAAATATCAGGTCCATCTTAAAAAGTTTAACTGCTTGAATAAATTCCTCTACAGAAATCATATCTTAGGCATTGAATCCAATATCAAAGAAGATCCGAAATCGTTCTGGCATTTTATTAAGTCTAAGAAGAACAACTCTAGTATTCCCTCAGCTGTATTTTTTGAAGATGCGGAAGTTGCAAATCTATTTGCTGCATTTTTTAGTTCTAATTTTGTAGATGATAACCCTACTGTGGATTCTAGTTTCTCTGCTAGTGTGAATTCTACTAATTTTGGCTCCCTTAGACTTTCGTCTGACGATATTGCTAATGGCATTTTAAATCTATCAGCTTCTGCAAAACAAGATATTGATGTGCTCTCTTCAAACTTTATAAAGTGTCCTGCTTTGATCTCTCCTTTAAAAATTATTTTCAATAGGTCTCTAGCCTCCGGTATTCTTTATGATGAATTGAAATTGACTTCAATTACCCCTATTCTTAAAAGTGGCAGCAAAAGTGATGACGGTAATTACAGACCCATTTCGAAACTTTCAACAATTTCCAAACTTTTTGAAGTTATCGTCAAGGAGAAAATGTATTTCGCAACAAAAAGTCTAGTCTCACCCAATCAACATGGTTTTGTCCCCAACCGATCTACGGTTACTAATCTAGGCGTCTTTAGTGAGTATTGTATTGCAGCTATCTCGAACGGTTTCCAAGTCGACTGCATTTACACTGATCTTGCCAAAGCATTTGATAGAGTTTCGCACAGTTTGTTGGTCAGTAAGCTAGCCTCACTGGGTTTCCACCCAGTATTTTTGCAATGGCTCAAATCTTATTTGTCGGATAGGCGCTGTGTGGTCTCTGTTAATGGTTGTTCTTCGGAATCTATCATTGCCTCATCGGGGGTTCCTCAAGGTAGCATTTTAGGTCCCTTACTCTTTGTATTATTTGTAAATGATGTGAGTTCTTGTTTTTCATTTGCTAAAGTTTTGCTGTATGCTGATGATTTAAAAATTTTTTCTGTGATTGAAAATTCGCATGATGCGCTTAGACTTCAGTCCGAGATTAATATTCTATACGGCTGGTGTCGCAGCTCTCGCCTTTCTCTGATAATTAAAAAATGTTTTCAAGTTACTTTTTCCAAAAGTCACAGTATTCTTTCGACGTCTTATGTAATCTCTCAAACTCAACTTCAAAATGTTCAAGAAATCAAAGACCTTGGTGTAATTTTCAGCTCTAATTGGTCTTTTAACAGTCATATCAGTCACATAATTTCTAAATCTTACGCTGTACTTGGTTTTCTCAGGCGTCAGAGCTAAATGTTCTCTGACCTCTATACACTTAAGTTGTTATACACATCTTTTGTTCGTTCTAAGTTAGAATATGCTTCTTTTATCTGGAGGCCATACCACTCAAACCTAATTAATAGGATTGAAAGGGTTCAAAAGGTTTTTCTTAAATTTGCCCTTAGAAATCTTAACTTCAGCGAGCCTATTCCATTGTATAAGTCTCGTTTGCTATTAATAGACCTTAAATCTCTGGAAGCCAGAAGATCTTTGCTATCTCTAACTTTTACCTTTAACTTAATAAATGGTGTGATCGATTGCCCTACGCTCCTAGAGCAGGTCAACTTCAATGTTCCTCTAAGGAATCTTCGCAATCCTCTGCCGTTTTATGGAGGAAATTGTAAAACGGAGTATGCCAGAAATGCTCCTATTTCAAGAGCTTTAAACAAATTCAACACGATCTCGAATTCTATCGAACTGGATTTCTCTCTTCCAAAAAGTTTATTTATTTTATCTTTGATCTCGAAACTGTAGAATGCTTTATGTTTTACACGTATCGTCTAAGTAGCTAAATTTTTATCTCTAGTCTGTAAGGAACGTCTGTTTCATATGACTGCAATAAATTACAAATTACAAAATTACAAATATTATTCAAAGTCATCACTAGAGATGTACAAAAAGATATGTATTAGAGATGTGACAGTATTGGTTAATCTATTACCAACACCCTCACTTGATGAATTACCAATTAAGTTTAAATGCCAATTTCTTTCAGTGAAATATTTTTACGTAAACAATTCATTCATATGTTTACAATGTGTAATAAATGTTTGGGTGGGCTTTAGTAGCGCCCCAAACTATTTCGGACTATTCCGTCCAAAGGGGTGGCCCGATCCAAAAAAAATCCAAACACTTGTAGTCAAGGGTCTACACATTACTTTAACACCCACTTCTTTAATATTTGGTCACAAATTTATTTACAAATTGGGTTTGAAGTATGCCCTTTTTTGTAAAATTCGGATTCCTATTCTCCTTAAAGCAGCCACTTCACCAATATATTTTTGTATTCCCCTTCACTTTACACTATACTCGATTAGTTATAACTTTTTTTACGACTTTAATATTAACCAATTAATCACAATTCATTAAATAAAAACACCTTCAAAATCACGCGTCTGACTTTGGTTGCATATGCAAATTAAATGGCGGAGTTCAGCTGTCAAACTCCAAAATATGCAAAAGAATGACAGACAAAAGAAGATAGGATATAACCCAGTAAGCATTAAAAATATGCAAAGGTGTTCTCTGCAAAAGGTGTTCAGCTCCTTTTCTTCGCAAAACATAAAGAGAATTCTATTTTGTGAGGGTTATAATCCCTAAGTACGGCCGAAGGAAGGCCGCCTACGCAGAAAGGTTTTCTCTGCAAAAGGTGTTCAGCTCCTTTTCTTCGCAAAACAGAAAGAGAATTCTACTTTGTGAGGGTTATAATCTCAAATGCGGCCGAAGGCCGCCTACGCAGAAAGGAATTCTACGCAAAAATACATTTGTTAAAAAGAACATTTTTAACGGTTTCTGTTAGTTGGGTCATATTCCACTTCAGACTGCTCAGTTTGCCTATGAAAAGTCCGTTTTTCCCCCTTTTTCAAACGGTTTCCTAGGGGCCTGTGGGAGGAGCCCAAGGGGGGTACGCCTTTTTAGAAAGTGGGGACTGTCCCCTTTCTAGTGGGTGGATTTGGGGTCAATTACGCTTCTATTGTCATAACTAATTGGAATAGCCATGCGTGAACTGGGATCGACTTCATTAATAAACTGCTTCTGCCGCAATGCTTTCCTCACTGCAGATGACAAAGCCAAATACTCAGCTTCAGTAGTTGATAAGGCCACGGTTGGTTGACGCTTGCTGTTCCAGCTGATTGCTGCATCTGACAACTTGAAGACATAACCACTGCATGATCTTCGCTTATAAACGTCCGATGCGTAGTCCCCACCACAAAAACCTGAGATGCCTTCGTCGATATGTTTCAAATTTGCGGTCCCTTGTAAGTAGCGAAATATGACCGCTGTCCAGTGAACTGCATTGTAGTCAGTATTGAATCGACTCACATCATTGACTGCGAAAGCAATATCTGGTCGAATACCCTGCGCCAAGTATAGCAAACATCCAACTGCTTCTTGGTACGGAAAACTTTTAAGTTCGCTCCATGATGATCCTTTACTGGTACCCAAATCTTTCGAAAGCTTAACGTTCGGATCACTCGAAGTAGAAATTGGCTTACAGTCAGCCATACGAAAACGCTTAAGTACTTCACTTATGTAGCTTGACTGATCTTATTCAATATAGTCTTGGGTCTGATTTATTCTGATTCCCACACAGTTCGTAGCTGACCCAAAATCTTTAATTTTAAAACATGAACTTAGTGCTAACTTGAGTTTAGCTAGTACGATAGAAACATTCCAAAATAGGAGTATATCATCCACATATAACGCTAACATTAAGTTGAGATCTTTGTTGTAAAAAACACATGGGTCAAGCCTCGACTGAATCAATCCGAAGGACTTTAATGCTGTGATTAACTTACAGTTCCACAGCCTTTCAGCTTGTTTTAAGCCAAAAATTGCGCGATTCAGCTTGCCTACCTTATTAGTTCTATCGCTACAGCCTCCAGGCTGCTCGATGAAAATTTCTTCCTCCAAATCGCCTTGAAGAAATGTTGAGACCGCGTCCATCTGGTCGATTCTCATTCCCTTTTTGGCAGCTAATGCAATTAATTGTTGTATAACGCACAACTGTAGTGTAAATGAGTAAATGAGTGTGAACGGACGTGTTCTTTAAGCGTTGTTAATAGATCGGATTTTTTTACAAAGAAACTATCAAAAAAAATCTGAAATTCATCAAAATAAATTAATTTTTCACTGATATCCTCACTGTCCATGGAATTCCAAACGAATCATGGATTTAAGTTGTGGAAGATGTAATAACTCTAGTCGGGATAAAGAATTACGTTGTGGCGGGTTTTGTGAAAAATTGTTTCATATGAAATGCGCTGGATTATCCAAATGTGAATGTGATGCAATTTTTAAACACTCGAACATTAAATACATATGTGATGGATGCATAAATTACATCAAATTAACAAATGAAAATTATAAAAGCTTATTTGATCTCGTAAAAGAAAATGAAACCGAAATGGCTGAAGAAATGAGTAAAACAAGTAAAATGATGGAGCAACAAGTGAAGGAGGCAAAAACAGAGATTGTAAATGAAATAAAAAAAAAACACAAACAAGTGCGGGAAGCGCAACATATGCGAGCAAACTGAAATCTTGTAATAGTGTGCCCGTTATTTTAAAGCCAAAAAACAACCAAAACAGTGACATTACAGAGGAAGAAGTCAAAGAGAAAATTAAACCTTCGGCTCTTAACGTACAAGTGAAAGGAATAACAGAGGCATGATGGAGCAGTAGCTGAAAATGCTGTGAAAATGAAGGCGGTAGAAATGCTTTGACTGAAGAAATTAAAGACAAAATGGGTACTGACTACGAGATGCAAGCTCCAAGGATGAGAAATCCAAAAATATTGATCGTCGGAATGACTGAGGAATTAAATAAAGATCTTATTGTACAAGCAATCAGTAAGCAAAATGATGTTGAATGCGGCCATTTAGAATGTGTAAAAGTGTACAAGTCCCACAAAATTCCGCAGGTGTATAATGCAATAATAGAAACAGATGGTGATGGATATAACCAATTATTGAAAAGGAAAAAAATTAACATCGAATGGGATAGGTGTCCAGTCTATGAAAGTTGCAGCGTACTAAGATGCTTTAAATGTTGGGGATATAACCGTGCCTCTAAGGTCTGCAAAAACGATGATCAAATATGTGCAAAATATACACCCGTATGCTGTAATCCGAAAGTTCTTAGTAACGAATTCGTAGCTCCGATCCGAAAATTCGAAAATTGGTATGCTGTAATCCGATCGTAACTATCAGCGGCGTTGCCAACTAAAATAATAAAATTCGAAGTTCTTAATCAGCTGCTTTGACACAAACAAATCAAAATAAATATAATCGCAAGTGAACAGTGAAATTTAAAAAATTGTTTAATCGTACGAGGGTCGTATGAAAACTACCCGGCCTTGAATAGAATAAAACGATTTTTTTAACGAAATTCAATTTATTTTTCAACATAATCTGCTTTTAGCTCGATACACTTAAGCAAACGTTTTTCCCATGTTTTGATCCCTTCCGAATAATAGGTTTTCTCCAACCCTTCAAAATAAGCATTTGTTGCTGCAATTACTTCATATTTGAGCTAAATTTTTTCTCGCCGAGCCATTTTTTAAGATTAGGAAAGAGGAAAAAGTCACAGGGGGCCAAATCTGGAGAATACGGTGGATGAGGAAGCATTTGGTAGCCTAATTCATTGAATTTAGACATGGCTACGACACATGTACACACACGAGCATTGTCTTGATGAAAAAGAACTTTTTTTTCAACAAATGTGGACGTTTTTCCTTCAAAGCCTTGTCAATTCACCCAATATTTTGCAGTAGTATTCGCCATTAATTGTTTTTCCTTTTTGTAGGTAATCAATATGTATAACCCCACGCGCATCCCAAAATACTGTGGCCATAACCTTGTTTGCTGATAATATCGCCTTTGCCTTCTTTGGAGCTGGTTCACCACGACGAGTCCACTGTTTTGACTCAAGAATGATAGAATACAAGATTGCGCCGATCAGAGAGGATTTTTGAGAATAACTTTTGTGTGACATCACACTGGTGCAATTGCGAGAGAGAAATGCCAAAACGTGAGCAAGAATGGAAGAAGAAGAAAAAATTTTGCAAGGAAAAACGTAAACAAGTTGCACCAGTGTGACGTCATGCAAACAACGATTCTGTCAAATTCGTTAAGAGAGGAATAGCGGTCCGAGATCGGCGCAACCTTTGTATTCTCTCAATCGTGGTTTTGACTGTTCTTTGGTCTCTGGTGTGGAGTGATGAATCCAGGTTTCATCGACAGTTACAAATCGACGCCAAAACTCCTGGGGATTTGCGTTTAACATTGATAAACAATCATTTGAAATGGAAACACGTGTTTGTTTATGGTGTGTTGTGAGTAATCGCGGCACCCATCTTGCGGAAAGCTTTCTCATATCCAAATGATTTTGCAAAATGTTATTAACCCGTTCAATTGAAATGCCCACACTCTCACCAATCTCACGCACTTTCAATCTTCGATCACTCATTACCATATCACGGATTTTTTCAATCATTTCTGGTGTAGTGACCTCATTTGGACGACCTGAACGTTCCTCATCAAAAATGCTCGTACGGCCGCGTTTAAATTCAGCTACCCAATATTTTATAGTTGTTAATGACGGTCCAGAGTCTCCATAAACTTCGTTAAATTCCGATTTAATTTCGTCGTTTGTTTTCTTTTTCAAAAACAAATATTTTATCACTGCTCGATATTCAATTTTTTCCATGTTGACAAAAAGCACAAAAGTAACTCAATTCTAACACGTATAAAATTTGTTGTAAATGTCATATCGCTGAGAAATTTTGACACGTGTTATTTGAAGAGTTGTATTTTTTAGCAAAATATTTTTTTTAGTTGTAGCAGCGCCATCTCTATTCAAAATCGGGTAGTTTTCATACGACCCTCGTATTTGAAAAGGCTTTTCCTTAACTAAGTAAAATATAATGGATTCAGTAGCCGATGCACTTTTGTCTCAGGAGAAAGAACGTGCTGCAGCCAACTGTTGCATTAATATACAAAGGAGATTGCTACGAGACAGTTCTGATCCATTTAGCTTAAATGATAAATGTATGCTCCCTCTTTTTAAGGGCGTCCATTCAACTAAATATTGTGCTGCTTTAATTCTTGCAACGCCTTCCCAAAATTCCACCACATCCTCTTTAACTACTTTTACAAAGCCTCGGGCAATGTCCGGCCTTTCGCTCATGCATTCCACCAGTTTTTCGTATTGAGAGCGATTTTTTGTGATTGTCGACTTGATAATTTTGTAAACATTTAATAATAAATTTTTTTTTATTCACACTTCAACTTACATACATATTTTTGCGTTTCCACACTTTGTTTTATTGATATTTTAATACAATTTGTTTCGCTCCGACACGAGTTGCTATTCGTACAAAATTCCCGACAAATACATAAAAATNAATAATAAATTTTTTTTTATTCACACTTCAACTTACATACATATTTTTGCGTTTCCACACTTTGTTTTATTGATATTTTAATACAATTTGTTTCGCTCCGACACGAGTTGCTATTCGTACAAAATTTCCGAAAAATACATAAAAATAACAGCTACGTCGGATTCAGGCATACCAACATTACGAATTTCGAAGATGGCCTACGAATTTCGAAACTACGATACGACAACACGGATTTCAGCATACCAATTTTACGATTCGTAGCAAAATCGAATCTACGACGGATAGCATACATAGTACAGCATAGGGGTGATAGTGAAACGGGTCATACGTATAAAGAGAGCAAAAATAACAATAATAAATGCATAAACTGTAAAAACGCCAAGGAGAGATTGAAATTGTCAGACATTGACACAAATCATGATTGCGGAGATTCAAACTGTCGAGTTTTACAAAGAAAGAATAAGTTGGAGGCTGAAAGAGTGGCTTATTTGCAGCCAAAGTTTCGTTAAGAAACTATAACATTATACGTTGTGATAGTATATCTAGACATACTGGAGGGGTTTGTTTCTATTTAAATGTTAAATGGCAATATAAAATAATAGACTGTCATTCGATTGAAAAAATTATGGTGGAATTAGGTGCGAAAGTGAAAAACAGTGCTTAGTTGGAGTTTATAGATCACCAAATAGACAAACATCTCCAGAGGAGCACTTTATAAATTTTTATGAATCAAAAATGGAAAATATGTCTGAAAATGCGAGCATATTAATAACGGGGGACTTCAACATTGATTGGCTAAAAGCCAATAATCATACAAAGAGACTGGAGGAAATTATTAGCGATAACTATTTAAAACAAATTGTAACTCTCATTTTTGTTGTTGGTATTTCCGACAGGGTAGGAGTGTGATGTAATGTGGAACGGGATGACGGAAAGTTGTAACTCAGCCAACGAGAATTACAAATAATACTTCAACTTTAATTGATTATGCAGTGACAAATATTGAAGGCATGGTAGCCAAAACAAATTATAAAATGAAAATTAGTAATCACGAATCAATAGAATTATTAATCCCATTAAAAGTAAATAAAAAATCCATAAATCGAAAATACAAAAAAAAAAACATTACACTTTAACAATGCAAAATTCCGAAACAATTTTCTACGTAGTGGCATACTTGAAATTCAAACAACTGATTCTACCAGTAACTTTGCTAACATACTAGTAAATAGTATAAACAACTCATTAAACCTCATGATAGTTAGTAAAAATATACAAATTGCAAATAATACAAAACAGTGGTTCAACAACAACTTGAAAGAAATGAAAAAAATTAAAATACATCTCTACAATTTAGCCGTTTGGTTCGACAACGATTACCATTGGGAAAATTACAAAATACTAAGAAATGAATACACATAGAACTTGAGAAAGCTAAGGGAAGCTACATAAATAACAGAGTAAACAAATGCACAAATCAAAAGGATATGTGGAGAACAATAAAAGAATTAGTTCTGAAAAAAAATGAAACACAATTACGTGAAATTAATATAAATGGTAAAACTATATCGAAAGAATTAGAGATTGCAGAAGAATTAAACACATTTTTTGTGAATAGTGTACTGGAAATCGCAAATAGCATTCAATTTGTAAATTATGAAAACTTGATAGACGAAAATCCCCGATACAAATTTAAATTTGAATTACTAAGTATAACGAACTTAAAGGAAACTATGGAAAATATGAACAATAAAAAGGACCACAATTTTCTCACGGTAAAAATGTTACTGGAAAATTTCGATATAATCGGACCACACTTACACCGAGTAATAATAGAATCTTTCCAAACAGGGAAGAATACAAAAAACCCAAATGAAATAAGACCAGTAAATATGCTATCAACAATAAGCAAAATAATGGTAAAAATAGTACAAAATCAACTAAATAAATACTTTGAAAAATATAATTTATTTTGTGAAGCACAATGTGGATTCAGAAAGAACCATAGTTGTGAATCCCTTTTAAACCTGGTGGTATCACAGTGGAAAATGGAAATAGCGCGGAAAAATTGTGTCATTGCAGTTTTCATAGACCTAAAGAGTACTTTCGAGACCGTTAACAGAGATATTTTAATGCAAAAACTAGAAAAGTACGGTATAAAAGACATTGAGTTAAGTTGGTTTCAGAGCTACTTGAGCAACAGGACTCAAAAAAACGAAAAGCGGAAACTGTATATCAACACCAATAAATATTAGCGTAGGAGTGCCACAAGGGGCAGTTTTGGGAACACTACTATTTTTAATCGACATAAACGATATGCAAAAAATTTTAAATAAGTCGAAAGTGTGTATGTTTGCTGATGACGTGCTGGTATATATTTGCGGAAAGGATGCGGATGAATGTGTACAAAACTTAAACGAAGAAATAAAAAATATTGAGAAATATCTAAAAATTAATAAACTTAAAATCAACACTAGTAAAACAAAAACTATGATCTTAAACGGAAATACTACGGAAAATATTTATATCGAAGGACATCCGTTAGAAATCGTTAAAGAAATTAAATATTTGGGTATTCTTATAGACAATAAATTAAAATTTGATTTGCACTTCGAATATATTTGCAAAAAAAATCGCTAAGAAAATTGGATTTTTAAGAAGAATCCGTTATAAATTATCAACTAAAATAGCCATAAATATTTACAACACAACAATCAAACCTCATTTTGAATACTGTTCAACGTTATTATTTCTGGGAAGAAAACTATGAGGCAAGACTTCAAAAACTTCAAAGTAAAGGAATGCGTTGTATTCTTCGGTGCCATCAACTGACTCATATTAGAGAAATGCTAACAAGATTGCAGTGGCTTTCTGTAAATCAGCGACTCGTGATGAATGCTTTAATTTTTATTTTCAAAATTAATAATGGATTAATGCCAGATTACATTCGAAATTATTTAGTTTACGTATCTGATGTTCAACCCTATTATTTGCGTAACGAAAATGATTTCAGATTAAATTTTAGTTCAACAAATTTTTGTCAAAATTTATTATTTCACAACGGTCTTAAATTATTCAATGAAATGCCAGAAAATTTAAAATGTGAAAACGTTTTTTTTATATTTAAACGTAACATTATTTCATATGTCAAACAAAAGTTTTAATGTATTAAAATCCTTTATAATAATGTTATAAAATTGTACAAATAATGGCATGTATGCTAAATAACTATACCAAAAAAAAAAAAACTGGTGAATATGTTTCTTGATAATCTTGACCGAATTTTCGGCCAGAACCTTTCGCGACGAAACGAGCTTTATAACGCAATACATTTCCGTTGTTATCGCGCTTAGTTTTGAATACCCATTTGCACCTAATGGCTTTTCGACCCTTGGGTAAATCAACTAGTGTCCAAGTGTTGTTCTCCCTGTGAGAACGAATTTCTTCTACCATGGCTTGTTGCCAGTTTTTACTCTCTTTACTATTCAATGCTTCAATTGATGTACCCGGGTCAGAGACAATATTATTGCATGATATGTATGAGACGAACTCACCAAAATCTTTGGGGTTTGGGCTTTCTTGTTTCTTGCCCTGGAACCTCGTTAGTGGGAATATAAAGTGGATCGCAATCTTCGTATTCGCTGTCAGTACAAGCTATTACGTTTTCAATGTCTACTACTTCTGACAAGCTGCTACAATGTTCATCGACTGGAAGCTGTTCAAGTGATTCAGCCCTCACTTTGATCCACACTTTCTACACCCCTAACTTTATTAGAATCAATTACACGTTTTGGTGATGTCAACTTCCATATTTGCTATTGGAACAATCTCGTGGAAAATTATATCGCGACTGATAGTGAGTTTTTTGGTGTTCGGTTCGATGCAACGGTAACCTTTTTTATTATCTTCAAAACCAACAAATGTCATTTTGACTGATTTCGCATTCCACCTTGTTCGCCGTTGTTTAAGAATATGTACCATCACTGGGGATACAAAAATCCGTAAATGCGAGATGTCGACTCTTTTTCCAGACCATATTTCTTCTAGTCATATATGTAATACTTCTATATTGGCAGTAAGCTAACTTCTCAATGTGTAAGCATTCCGAAATCAAAGCGAGACAGTCTAGTACCGTTTTTGTCAATGTATTGTGTACTTGAGTGCCGTTTTTGTATATGTGTTGTGTACATGTTTATTTATAAATGTATGTGTTCCTTTTCTTTCGTACGTGAACATTGATATATCTGTACTGTAGTGTTTTCGGACGGTACTAGCTCTTACTGCCAATATAGGAGTATTACATATATGCTTCTAGTATTTGGTTTTCTAATGATGAGCAAATCGATATATTAACAATGTAAGCTGCCAATGATGTAATCCGAATGGAATATCTCGAGGAGCTCTTTTGTGCTATGCTGAAAAGGTTTTCTTGATTGTTTGCCTTGTGCACACACTGTGCAATCTGCATCAATTGTTTTGTCATCAAATTTTAAGCCATCAACAGCTTGCTTCATTTGCTTCAGACTCTTGAAGTTTATATGACCTAGTCTGCGATGCCAAGTTATTGCAGAAGTTTCTAAATTTCTACACATGTTAGATGAACCTGACGTAAATTTATACACGCCATCTTTAGGTTTGCAACTTGCATAAGGAGTTCCTTGAGATTCGTATACAGTGCAACCCCTGCTGTCAAATACGATTTTTTTCCCGCTTCTACCATTCTATAGGCCGATAATAAATTTGCTGATAAGTCTGGTATATGCAGTACATTGTTAACGTCAACTACATACTCCCTATTCTAGCGCCCTCATAAAAATCACCATACTCGCTATTGTGAGTTTTCTCACTATTGTGAGGTTCACCCAATGCTGGCGAAAATACAAAACATAAAAAGATCACAATTGTCAGAAAATTTGTGATGACGACATATGAACCTCACAAAGCAAAAACAGCTGTTTTTTGAGCATTTTTTTTATTAAATTCTTGCGTTTGTTTCATGTAATGTGAAAATAATGGAGGAGCTATTGTGTTAGCGGCAGTTATGGAGGGACAAGAGGAAGCGATAAAGAGAAGGAGGCTTCTGAAAAGCATGCGCGACAAAAGTGATCCGTTTTCCATGGAGGATGTTATATTTTTGCAAATGTTCCGGTTTCCAAAATCCCTGTGTCGAGCGTTGATAGAAGAATTGGAACCGAATGATGTTCAGAAGTCCAATATGCCCTTTACTCTTCGCTTCCTTGCTTGCTTGTATTTTTACTCGCATAGGTCTTATCAAAAATGTGTTGGGAATAGCTATTCCATTTCAATGAGCCAGGCATCTGTTTCCCGCGCTCTGCACTTCATATCGAAGATAATCGTGGATGTTAAAGCGGGTGAAGTGCGTTTTCCATCAACTCTACAAGAGGTTGCAGAAGTGAAAAGAGGGTAGGATTCAAGTCCCAAAACTATTTCGTAATAAATGTTCATGTTTAAAAATATTTATAGGTTCTATACAAAGTTTGGAATAAAGGGTACAATCGGAGCAGTCGATGGCACATACATTGGGATTATATCACCAACGACCACAGACGCCAGAACTCCCGTTTCTCTCTTTATGAATAGGAAGGGGTTTTATAGCACAAATGTTGAGGCATTAAGTAAAAGTTGGTTTTTATAAAATGATCGTTAAATGTTACAGGTCAAAACGATTTTTTTAACAATATCAAAGGTGTGTGACCATCGACTCGTGTTTACTGGAGTCAATGCGAGATATCCAGGCTCTTGTCACGATTGTGGCATCTGGACCACATCCCCAACACGAATGCATTTGATGAGAAATCACAGCACACAAAGTGATTCGTGGCTGTTAGGAGATCAGGGGTATCCGTTGGAGCCCCTGGCTCCTGGCTTTTAACACCTGAGGCAGAGCCCTCAAACTGTAGGGAAATTAAGTACAACAAGATGCACGCTAAAGCACGCAATACCATCGAAAGAGCTTTCGGTGCCTGTTGAAAGAGCAGCGACTATTATATACGCTTGTACGATTCTCCACAATATTCTTTTGAAGAATGGCGTGGCTGCCGACCTTGGATTCGAAGTAGTTGAAGAACTGGAAGATTGCGAAGTTGTGATCGAAGGTGTAGAAAATTCAAATGCAAGGGAGGGGGCAAGAGTAAGGGAACGGTACATAATGTTTTTAAGAACCACAACTCTTTAAATATACAGTGGTCGAAAAAATGATAGTCGCACCACACATTGACAAGTTTTTATATAAAAAATAAAGTTCCTTCTTTAGCAAAACCGTTGTAAATCCAAGTTTCAAACTCTGTCCAATATTCCAAACACATGTGAACAACCTTTCGTTGATTCGATTTCTTAGAAAAAATGTGTGTATGAAGTTTGAAACTTGGTTACAATGGTTTTTTATAAAAAAATTACTGATATTAAACAACAAAAAATTTTTTTGCAAATAATTTATTCGATCACTGTATATAAATTGGATAACTTTAGAAATTTGATTCTATTTTGAATAAAATTTAATTTTTTGCTTGACCCTATGTATTTAAAAGAAACAATAGCAGACGACATTTGACCATTTTTTGACTATTTTTCTTTTGTTTGTTTAATATTCATTAAAACCGTTAAAAACCACATAAATCAAAAACTTAGAAAATGCTATTTGGATTTTTACGATATTTCATTTTTTTTTTCATTTCATATTTTTATTAGTGTTACCAATGTATTCAAATACGTACATACATAGACATGAATAAAAATATCTTTCGTATAATGACAATCTATCGAAATACGATATCACTATTTTTAAGGCTTGGTTAATGAGGAACAAAAGAATTTTATTTCACAGGTACATGAATATATACAGGCATTTATATTTGGCATTTTCTTCCATATATTAATACATGCTCGAATTCGTTTTTATGTTAAAAATAAATACATAGTAAAACTTAGCTATTTCGAGCTTGCCCTTTATTAGCCAAAAATTCAACGAGGTATAAAAATGCCGTCTCGAAAATTTTCTAAATATTAAAAAATGGCAAAAGTTTATTAACAGCCTTATTATATATCACGAGCGATGGACAACACAAACGATTCGTCTGCAGAAGAATGCTTCAAAAATTAGTCCGGTGGCGTTATTCTAGTCGGTTTAAATGTAAGTTAGAAACAATGGAATTATAGAAAACATCACTGTTCCTTTTGTTTTGTACAACACTTAAAACTATTGACAGTCTATCATTTACAAACAGTCTCACTCAAATATACATACACTGGTATCCCGATAACTAAAACCGTTTTGTCTTTACAAGTATTGATAATCCATTTTTATTTATTAGATTTAATTTATTTTGTTAGGTAAACCTAATGCATGTCACAACGAAAATCAAGTAACTCAACTTTGTACAAGATTTATATTAATTCGTCAAAGCTCAAAAAATTGTCATCAAAATTTCTAAGTTTTATTTAATCGGAATTTCTATAAATAATTATGGTGTGCAGTTTAATAGCTCATTCAATTTATGTAATATTGTGTAAGTTTGAATTAGCTCAAAAAATTCGATGATTTTTGAGAATTATTTCGCTGACGATGTTGCTCATTTTCGAACATACATATCGTCACCTGAAATGCAAAAAGACGTAACAACTTCGTAACTGAAATGGAAGAAGTCGTGACTAATATCTTTTATTTTTCTCATAAAACGATGTGGGAGTTGTAATTCGATGAACTCCATCATATCAATCAAAATTAAATCAATTAAAAGATACATCTTTTTCAGTTATCGGTCCACCAGTGTATAACTAGTGCTCTTTTATATGCATATTGCAGCTTTAGATTAAAAAAAATACAGAAATTACGAGTTTTAACTATTTTTATAACATAAAGATTCTAATGAAGAATGTGCTAAAATTAAAAAGAATTCATATGGATTTTACCTTTTTGTACTCTCAAAATTATCAAGTAGCTAAAGATTTTAAGCGCCCTACAATTTGTCTAGTTTTTCAGTCAACTTTTTCAATGCTTGACTGATCGTACTAAGCGCTTGCGTAATTTGCATAAGTGCATTTGCGAGATTTTTGTTTTGTGAGATAATTTGCTCATCTCTTTTCTCACGAGCTTCCACCTTGGTCGTCACAGTATTCAAAACTTTTGCCACGGTCAACTTCCCTTCAACAGTTGGCGACGAAACAGCAGAAGATACCACAACATTGGGCACGACACCATGCGAAGAAATAGTTGCTGATCGATTTACAGAAGTGGGGGTACCAGAAGCCGTATCATCAGAATATACAGAAGCAGTAGTGGCAGAAGCAGAATGTGCAACCTCAAGACAAGTAGTTGCTGGTAATACAAAACAAGACGTAGTAGCAGAAGGAGACTCATGTAAAGGAGATTGAAGAGTAATGGAAACGGAATTAGCCCATGGAATGGTCTCATCGACAACGATGGCCACCAATGCTTCAACCTTAATAAAATTTTAAACAAATCGTTAAAACATAGTATACTTATTTTTGCATATACATATATCTGTGTTCGTATGCAATAGTAGCTTATTTCGAAAGGCTGGCTTTAGCAAAATGCAGCACTGGCGCCGAGCCGTTTAAGAACTTTTGACAAATAAACGTGCAAGAAATAGTTCCGATACCAGCAAGTCAATATTCTAATTAAGTCTCATGAAAATATTCCTTGTCGTTTAAAGAATAAAGGGAATGCCGCATTATACTAAATCCAGCTTCCCGACATAAGCTACTATTCCATACGAACACAGNGAAGTCGTGACTAATATCTTTTATTTTTCTCATAAAACGATGTGGGAGTTGTAATTCGATGAACTCCATCATATCAATCAAAATTAAATCAATTAAAAGATACATCTTTTTCAGTTATCGGTCCACCAGTGTATAACTAGTGCTCTTTTATATGCATATTGCAGCTTTAGATTAAAAAAAATACAGAAATTACGAGTTTTAACTATTTTTATAACATAAAGATTCTAATGAAGAATGTGCTAAAATTAAAAAGAATTCATATGGATTTTACCTTTTTGTACTCTCAAAATTATCAAGTAGCTAAAGATTTTAAGCGCCCTACAATTTGTCTAGTTTTTCAGTCAACTTTTTCAATGCTTGACTGATCGTACTAAGCGCTTGCGTAATTTGCATAAGTGCATTTGCGAGATTTTTGTTTTGTGAGATAATTTGCTCATCTCTTTTCTCACGAGCTTCCACCTTGGTCGTCACAGTATTCAAAACTTTTGCCACGGTCAACTTCCCTTCAACAGTTGGCGACGAAACAGCAGAAGATACCACAACATTGGGCACGACACCATGCGAAGAAATAGTTGCTGATCGATTTACAGAAGTGGGGGTACCTGGAGCCACATCAGAATATACAGAAGCAGAAGTGGGAGAAGCAGAATGTGCAACCTCAAGACAAGTAGTTGCTGGTAATACAAAACAAGACGTAGTAGCAGAAGGAGACTCATGTAAAGGAGATTGAAGAGTAATGGAAACGGAATTAGCCCATGGAATGGTCTCATCGACAACGATGGCCACCAATGCTTCAACCTTAATAAAATTTTAAACAAATCGTTAAAACATAGTATACTTATTTTTGCATATACATATATCTGTGTTCGTATGCAATAGTAGCTTATTTCGAAAGGCTGGCTTTAGCAAAATGCAGCACTGGCGCCGAGCCGTTTAAGAACTTTTGACAAATAAACGTGCAAGAAATAGTTCCGATACCAGCAAGTCAATATTCTAATTAAGTCTCATGAAAATATTCCTTGTCGTTTAAAGAATAAAGGGAATGCCGCATTATACTAAATCCAGCTTCCCGACATAAGCTACTATTCCATACGAACACAGATATGAATGTGTACTTTAAATAGGGAAGAGTTTATAATTTCGAAGAACGGTTAAATTATTTCCTCAATGTTTTTAAATGCGCTAACCGAATTTAAAAATTATTATATGCGTGTGTACTAATAGATGGAACTTTAATTCAAAACAATGCCAACTTCCGTTCCGCACACCCATAGAAAAATCACTGAGCAATTTCCCGAATTGCGAAACATAATTCCAAACACTTCCTATTGAAATATAAATTTTTTAAATTCAGCATGACCCAATGTGCAAGACACACCGGAGATTCCATCCACCGCTGCTACCCCAAAGGTATCGATTGCCTGCTGTTCAAATTCGGATATGTCAGGAATTAGAGGTCCTCCGCCAGTCACATGCGGTTGTGCTTTCAGCCTGCGTGCGCGACTGCGCAACTGGTGTTTCCAATGCATAAGAGACTAAACAGAAAATATATACGTATGTAAAAATAGGAATACAAAAAACTGGCACACCTACTTCCTTCCACTTGGCCATAGTTCGAGTGGGCCCTCGCATTGAATTTAGGGTGTCTGTCACTTCTGACCATAAATTTTATATTCACTGGGGGTTACATGGTTGGAACTTCCCTCGTTGAAGCTCCGGGTGCTCCTTGCAGAAACTTATAAAATACTGCAGCTGCTCCTGCGAGGTTCTTTCGAACTTGGATCGTCTAGAAAATAAATTAAATAAGATATTATACAGCACATTTTTACATTTTATAAAATTACTTACTTTCCTTGTTGTTCGGCCTGCATCTTTTGCGCTGTTTTTCATTTGTAATATGGCCGTTTGACAGCAAAACACTTTTCACCTCAAGTGGTGAATTTTAAATAGCTGTGTTCTTGTGAGGTTTGGCTGTGAATAACCTCACAAAATAGAACTGACAAAAAAGTCACAATTGTTTTCCTCACAATTTATTTGTGAGGTTTGACAGAATAGGGCAGTTATTATAGCCTAAGAGTCGTTTTACCAGCACATTTTACTTCCATTTTTCACGATGATTTGAAGTTAGTTAAAAGATTTGCATTAGGTGTCATATGACTTGATGCTCCGCTGTCAATGAACCATTCATTAGTTGAAGATTTGGCTGCTAGACACGAGAAAGCTCTCTTTGCTGAAAACGTTGGCTTTTCTTTCGACTTTGCAGTACAATCATTGGCTTTTTGATTTTTGCCACCACAGGAATAACATTTGATTCCTCGATATGCATGCTTTTTAAATTGCTTAGGTTTAGTTTTTGATAAAAAGGCATTGTCTGTCAAAAGAGAAGGCTTAACCTCTAAATCAAACAATTTTGTTTTAACTTCTTTGGGTGACGGGTATGATTGCCTGCCCTCGAAACTCATTAAAAGTGGCATGAACTGCTCTGGTAAGCCGAGACAGTAAATACCAGCTAACCAACGATCGTCAACCTCCCATCCTGCGCTGTTTAATTTATGGTAAAGGGAAGTGATG